ATGTGATCAGCCCGCCACAACATGAAACTCGTGAAGTTACCCGCCCTGTATCCCATATCAAGCCAGGGTACAGGCCAGGATATCATATTACATTGGGCCCGCCAGAGTTGGTGCACACCTAGCTAAAATTGTAAGGTTCATGAACCAGCAAGGGCCAATCACAAAGACCAATTAAACATAAAAGAAAAGAGGAGAGTAGAAGGACAGAGCCAGTAGGGCATAAGAGGGAAAGAAAAGAGAATGAAGGGAAGAGAGGGCTCCTGGGGTATTATTACCCCTTCCCAGTTATTAACCATTCCGTTTGAGTATAGTTCACCATACAGATTTAGGCATATCGATAGTTAATTTATACACTTATATAAGCCATCCATGGGTCCCAGACATCCCCAAATTGCTTGTGTTTATTGTGTAGTATGCTTGCCAGTTTTTCATGCGTCATTATCCAAGACATTTTGCTTTTAAAATAGGCGAAGGATACCTTGTCTGTCTTCCAGGCTTTGGCGATAGTTATCTTGGCTGCTACGAAAATAAATGCAATTAGCTTATCCGAGGCTTTGGGCACTGACGGAATCGGGTGATTAAGAAGTGTATATTGTGGATCCCTAGGAACCCGCACCAGTTACCTGAAAGAGCAATGCAAAAATTTTGTTCCAGAAAGGGCGCAGGCGGGAGCAAAGCCACCAGGTATGAAGCATAGTACCCGGCTCTGAGCAGCCTCGAAAACATAAAGGGGATGTACCCGGGAAGATGGTTGCCAGCCTGGAAGGGACAAGATACCATCGCATGAAAACTTTAAGGTTTGCCTCAATCAGGGAGACATTAAGTAGACCCCGGGGTAATCGATTGATATTGTTTTAAGTGTTTAATGGATATATGTATTTAAAATTCAATAAATATTTATGTATAGTATTAGAAAGAAAGGAAATTCCCTCCCCAAGTGAGCAATTCATATGGACACAATCAATTTTATTATGGGAGCCTTTCCATTGACCAGTATGTACAAGGGATTTTGGGAGGGCATATTGACAGAATATAAATATAAAATAAAACTTTAATTATGATAACTATTTTTATATCACTATGAAGAGGATGTTAAAGAGGAACTTTACCCATATCTGTAAAAGAAAAAAACACCTTTAGAAATGTTTAGTAATGACAATCTACAAACACATACTTCTAGATAATTGCGTGCTTTGTATTCTTTGCATACCTTATTTCTCTTTTCTTCCCCAGTCTTCTCACAGTGGCCATGTTTACTAAGGGCAGATTACTAGCATTCCCTTTACTTTCTGGCACGTGACCATGCACATCACAGGTGGAAAGTGCCTTTCCCTGAGATCTCATGAGATTACAGATGAGATTTCCCAGCAATGCTCAGCTAATTTAACCTTCCCAGGATGCAACGCTTTGGCAAATTACATAGTTTGTGCCAGAACTGGATCAGGAAGTAGATGAACTTTATTTGCAAGTAAATGAAAACCATGTTTGTTTAACTTGTTTCATATTATTGAATACCCTGTTTCCCCTAAAATAAGACCTACCCTAAAATTAAGACCTAGTACCATTTTTGGAAATTGCTAAAATATAAGACCTACCCTGAAAATAAGACCTAGTTGTGACCATTCCTAGGGCCGGTGGTGGCATAAGGGGGAACTTGAAGAGTCGCGGGAGAGAATCAGCGGTGCCAACGAAGCCATCGCTAGAGGAAGCGAGGCGGCAGCAGAGGGAGCAGAGCCGCATAAGCCGATGCCTCCTCTATAGCGCCGGCTCCTGTCACAGGCGGAGTGATACCAAATGCACTTTGCCTGTGACGAATCCATAGTAAAAGTGCGCTTCGCTCATTCTGGTTACCAAATTGCTCTTGGAAAGGTACGGCACCCCTGATTGAACTGATCACTCTATTCTTAACTTTGCCATTTTGGATTATTTAATTTGGATTTGCATTAACTTTGGATTGTTATAAATAAAAAATAAGACCTAGTGTTTTTTTTTGAGCCAAAAAAAATATAAGACAGTGTCTTATTTGCGGGAAAACACGCAATATGATTTTAAATCAGCATGCAGAGCTGTATGCTGATGTGATTTTTAGTGAAAGGAGGTAAAGGTCCACTTTAAGGCACAGCTGGCTGCCGATTAACGGAGGCTTGTATCATGGGGACTTAGGGCAACATTGTGCAATGGGTCAGTGTGATTTATAGTTACACCCACATATTTTACCATTTGCCACATTTGTAGATTTTCCAATTGTCTTGAAGCCTGCTGAATGGAAAAAGTCTTATGTCTACTGCTCTGTGTGCCTCGAAAATGTGTCTGTGCCCAAAACTATCACAGACTAGCTGTAAAGTCTCAATTAGCACCTAGGACATATGTATTATGCAAGCTGAAAAAAGTGTGGCGGTGCAAAGATTGGGCCTTTTTATGGTGTCCCTGGTTCTGGTAAGCATAGCGTATCAGAGTTTGGACTCTACGCATAGCAGAACAGCAGCTAAAACCATTACTCTCACTTTTGGATCCATAAATTATGAGATTTTGAAGTGTTATCAAAATCCAACCCATGTAGTTAGATAATATGCAGCAGTCAGCCCCTTCCCTCCCACTGGATAGTCCAAGGGGCTTGTCACTTACTTTGATCTGTAATATAAATAATGGAGATCTGAAATCAACTCAGGGTCATAGTTCAGGGGCCCATAGATGTGGGATGGTATGGATCACATTTTCTTTCCATCCCCGGAAGCAGAAGTTGTTGTTTGGTTTTTTTTGGAATGCAAAAAACGGAAGACACTGTTGTGTGACTTGTGTGTTATATTGTACCATCTGTGCGTATAAGCTCAGTGTAAGTCAATGCTACTCTGAGATTGCTGTGCTTTTGCGTTCACTGTATTGCAGTGCTTGGATGACAGAGAACGAGACAGAAAATTGGATTGCATGCAGATTAGTACCATTGTGTGGAAGTTATCATAGGAAGGGACAAATCTCATTGCCAGATAGGGATCTGTGTGCCTGAGGTGTGTGTGTGTGTGTGTGTGTGAGCAATGGGAAAGATGACCCTGTAGGATTCTGGCTTACAGGATAGTTTGGGGGTTCTCACAGCTATGGGGAAATCCCTTAGCCTGCCACACAACCATTTAAAGGAGAACTATGAGGTGAGTGATTTCCACTCATCCTCATAGTTAGAGCCCACGTGTGACAATAAAACTGTCACAAGTCGGATCTATTGATCGTGAAGTGAGGGAACACATACCGTCCCTCACTCACTTCCCGATCATCTCCCTGTCGGTCACTGCTCCCCGCAGGATTTACCTCCTCCAGTGCTGCCTGGAGGAACAGACGGGGGAGGGCACAGCTGGCTCTAGATAGGCATAGCCAGCTGTCAACCAGCACGCGTGTGGATCTCAAGAGTATTAAACTGCGCTTTGGGCCACAGGAGGGGGTTAGTATGTGTCCTTCCGTGACCCTTAAGAGAACTATGGGATAAAAAGGTTACTCCATAGTTCTCTTTTAAGTGCACCAGATTATCTGCAAGATTTGTGTCTAGCCAGCTGAATTTGGGGGAGTCTGCCTCCAGTGGCGGACAGAGGTATTGCAGGAAACTATGTGTACTCATACAAATGCTAGAAATAATACTGCCTGGTTTAACCAGGCTGAAACGTGTTAGAATACGTGCTCTTGTGTGTGTGGTCTGTAAAGCCTGTGTGCTAGTCTAATTATAAATTCATTCTAAATAAGCTGCCAATGCATCCTAGTGCACCAAAAACTGAACTTAACTCTTTTTTCTGACGCAGAACATCACAATGCACAGTAGAGTGTTTTCTGGTGTTGTGGTGCACCGTAACATAGGTCTGTTGAGGTACCTAAGGGCTTGTTCACACTTTATGTAACATTAATTCCAGTGAAGCACACTGCACTACACAAATGTTTATTTGTGCATTGTGGTACACTAAAAAGCATGTTGATTGTGCTATAATGGAGTGCAATTTAGAATGAAAGGCAACAACGTGCTTAGTTGTGTTTATTAACATGCATTGTACGAAAGTAATGTTTATTTTACTGTTCATTACTGCAACATATCAGTGTAAATGGGCCCTAAGCCTGTAATGTGTGTCATGCTTTGCAGTAGTGAATGCAAAAATGCATTTATTGCGTATTATCACTATATTATCATTATAAGTGTGAAGGGCCCTGAATGTGCACAAGTGTAAGAGCTCCTATGTTTTTTTTACAACTTATTTTTGTAAATTTAACTTTATTACTGTGACCAGGTACCTAAGGATTCCCATGATGACAGCATACACAGGGGTACAAGTTCTCTTCACAGAGATACCAGGAGTGTGAATAGACCCCTGATGTCTCCGTTCAATGCTGGAGAAGTATCCCCAACTTCCTCCTTCCCTAGCATTTGGCACTATACTGAGCATAAACCCATAATTGTCAGAACTGAGCACCTCCAGATTTAAAGTTGCTAGGAAACAGGGAACCATCTATAACACGATCCTTCATCTCTCTACACAGCATCCCGAGTAAACAAGCTGGTGGAGAGACAGCTGCCAACATCAGAAGGATGTCAGTCTCATAACTGGCATAAACAAAGAAGCGGTAGTGGTGGCATGGGGGTTGTTGGTGAGAGGAGCACCTTTCCTACATTGTAGAAGTGATCCTGAGGCTGGAAAGCTGCCCTGATGTCTTCTACACAGAGCCCATAGCCAACAGTCCTATTGGAATTGTGAGCTTGTTTTAACCCCTTATGAGTACCATGTCTAGGAGAGGGACAGCCATGATGTATGCTACAAGTCCTTGGCAAAGGGTTAAACTGGTATTATTAAACAAATAGAATAAAGCGACCCAGATACATGATGTGCACACCAGGTCAAGGACTTTAAATTGGGGCTTACGTGTTCTTTAAGACATTTTAGTTTTTTTTAATTATCTGGTTAGGTCTCCGATTGTTCTAAATGGGTAAGGTTCAGTTAACCCTGCACACATCACAAACACCATTCACACCCTTAAGAATTTATAATGATGTACTTTATTGAGCCATTAAATACACAAGACAAAACATGACCCTGGACATTGGATAAAGGAGGGAAAAATACTATTGGTAAAGGACAGATAAAACCTTGACAATCAACCGTTAGGATGTGATTTCGGGACAGGACTGAATTACAGGAAAGTACAAAACTAAATATCAGCCCACGTATATTTTCCTTTTTTTAAAAAAAAAAACAAACACTTAAAATTAGCAGTTGATGTACAAACTGATTTTAAGGAAATCTGTATGATGCAAATGTTTGTCCAGGTTTAACCCTGTAAGCTCCCTTCAGTGTATATGCTGTTGCTGGCTGAAAACTCTTCCCTTAGATTAGAGGGATAACTTTATATGGGATGAAGTGTAAAATGGAAAGCAGGCAGCAGAAATCTGGATGGCAGCAGAGAACAGGGTGGGCTTCTGTCATCTTTGGAATGGCATCGTTTTAGCGGCTGTATCCAAATTCATCCGCATCATCAGCTCGGAAATCACCATAGCGCCACAGGTTCAGCTTAAAGAAAATAAACAAACAAATATATATTAATTAAGTGCACATTCTTAGAATTCATTTTCCGGCAAATCATATTTATGCTATTTAAAGTGAAAAACACCCCAACTACCACTTAGTATTGGTTTGCTGCCAATGAGCGGTCAAACAGCCCATGGCATTTGGCACTTGCAGTGTTCATTCCAGAGATCTCTCCAAATAAACCACTTTCCAACCTGACATTTGCATACTATCTTCTCTATCCACTGTGCTGTGAGGCATCCCCTGTAAATCTCGTATTGTGTTCCATCATTAACCAGATACAGAGACTATACACAAATAAGGCCCTTATTATTAGAAAAAGAGCTTCTGGGCGAGTGCAATTTTCCCTTGGGAGGCTTTTAAGTGAATATGCCACCTATTGGATTTAAAAGCATTGGATGGCCTTTGCTAAAGTACTGACCCATGGACAATACTGTTTGGCTTCTTGGCAATGTACCTGTGGAAATATGAATTACAATGCTATTTAAAGGGAGAATGGGCTTCTCGGTAAATGGCATTTTAGCATAGTAGGCCCTGCAGTCAAAAGAGGCTTATTTCCAAGGAAGCATTGCTGGAAGTCATCCTAATTGTACTTCACACTCCAGTTAACTCATTTGCATTACACAATCTGACCAGAATTACCAGCCCCGGTGTGCAAAAAAAGCATTGATCCAAAAGTCCTTTATACATTTGAATAGGTTTACCAGTCCTTATTGAATATTTTTAGCATTGTAAGCACATCTAACAATATTATATAACAATAAAAGGCTAATTATCCTGCAGTAACTACTACAATATATGTTTTTACCCGGGCAGCTTTTGCAGATTCCTGAGCGCTCAAATACTCTGCCATCTGTTGAGACAGAAAAAAAGCATATTGTGTTATACACATTTAACATCCACTACACAGAAGAGACTAAAAATGTAATAATTACAACAGTAGCACTAAGGCTTTGTCTTTCTTTCTGCATCACATACGCAAAGTGTAACTCCTAGAGGAGCTTAACAACAAACTGCTGTGATTCCAGAAATCTGAACATCTATTGTGAAGAGGTTATCGTGTCAGGGATAAAGCTTGCGAGGCTCAGTGGAACGTAGAAGCCAACACATCCCCTGATTGCAGAGCTGTAACGAAGCCCAACAAAGCTACTGATTACACAAGCTTGTAGAGGAGACAGTTTGGGTCTGCCAACAAAGAAAGCCAAGAGGGGAGCATGATCTGAAATGCCAAGTATATTAAACCCTGTTTTCTAAAATAAAAGCGGGGCAGAGAAGAAGAAGCAAAGAGGTAGCTTGCTAAAGAAAATTTCTTTTAATAGTCTTAATATGAAATACATATAAGACTGTTAGCTTGTTGGACAAGAGCACTGAGGTGCAACCATGTTGTAGTTGTACAAGTAATGTGTTTAATGTAGACACAATTGTCATAATCAAGGAGCTGTAATATACTTATATGTCACTTTTTGTAAAATGATAAAATGTTCCTTCTGGACAAGTAGGAGGGTCAACAGACATACGTATTTCAGTTGCAATAAGGACAGTGAGTTGTCTGCTTAATCATGACACACTTCATCATGTCCACAAGATTGGAAGGGACAGCGTCCAGTTCTTGGATACTATGAATTTTCACTGTATTGATTTACATTAGCTGGGCACTGGGGCTTATAGTAGTCAATAACTTCAGCTGAATATCAATTAAAATTACTCCTGTAAATAAGTCAGTTAATGAGGTATTGAGTTGTGCAGGGGGAGGGCTGTGGCAGCCACAGTTTGTCAGCTTGAGTTTTCCCGTCCTGATGTGGCCGCATGATACATTTTCCATTAAATTACATGTAATTTGGACACCGACAGCTGACTAGGATAGCCATTACTAATATGATCTATCTACAGAGATTATATGTACCCCAAATGTAAATTATGCTATGCTCCGTGCCTCACATATTGTTTACAATGACAAACTGGCCAAAGTACTTACAGGTGAAATTGCTCATAAAGCATATCAGATAGTGGATCAGTATTGACAGTGCACAGATGGTGCGAAATTGGCCCCCAAAATGGTTTTCAGATATAAAGTCCATCAATAGATCTTAGAGTAGGCATTTGAAAGACTAGAGTAGACTTTGAAAGACAATTTAAAAGTCATGCTTCTAATCGGAAGCTGTAAAAATGTAGTGCATCATCATGAGAAGGGTGTTAATACTGAACAGCAAAAAAAAAAAAAAAAAGAAGAAAACTAGCACAGACTCAACCTTTCTTTTTTTCTTACGCAAGTACTTAACGCCAGGAAAACAAATTAGGGATGTTTATCAAAACTATGCTGAAAGTGTTATCCTAAATGTGGTGATCAGGAACCTCTGAGCAGTGTGTTAAAAATATGGTACATTGTTTCTGCAGAACTGGGCCTGCTGCCAGTCACTCGATTTACACTGCGTCAGTTCTTCAGCTACAATAAATCTTTATTAGAAATAATTTACCTGTGTCATTGTGCTTATGACTGATGGGGGAGAAAAATGATCAATATATAACATAACAGAATGTCATAAGATATCTTCCCTACTTTAAAAAGTGTTGGGTATTGGTATGTCCCTAGGATGTTCCAAATCCTCTTATTGATCCAATGATATCAGGATTTGATAAAAGTGGGTGTCCACCATTGCAATAATGCCACCGAGTATTAGGTACAGATGAATGGTCCAAGAACACCATGTTCACTTACCACTTTCAGGAACTGCTTTTCTTTGCGCACCTCCACCATGACCAGGCCTTCTTTCACCAGCCCCAGGCCCACATCCTCCTTGGAGTCAGCAAATTGCAGGGTCACATGTGGACAAGTGGCTCCAGTAAATTCCACATTCAAGAGACACTGAGTGTTCTGAATGTCACGGACCACATTATCCACCACATCTGTACGGGCATCCTCCTGTAAGAGCCAAGCAAGAATCATGGAATTTACATTTATAATTAGGGTCTCATTAACCTTTTAAGCTTCAATATTATACTTACATCATGTGGCACTTGTATGAAGGCAAAGCAGTACTCTGTAGCCTGAGCTTGGAGCATACGCACATTGAATGATGCAGGGAGGGGACCCAGGCGAGTGGAAGATAGAATTTCTCTCTGAAATTACATGAAAACAAAAACGCTTTATAAGGATGGGTGTCATTTTGCTCTACAACTGAAGAAAGCAGCTCTCTCAGCCACGTTATAGCAGAGACTGAGTTCACATCAGTACACAATCTTCATATTCAATGCATTTAAGCACACAGAAGAAGCCCTACAATAAATGTATATTCCAAGAGAGTTTATGACGAAGGGATTAATGTTGGCAATCAGAGGCTGAGGGCTGTTGCCGGCAGCTGGGAGATGAAACGATGTCAAGAACAAAAATACATGTTAGCTGAGGGGCAGGCTGGGGGCCGGAGCAGTATCTGTGCTGCAAGTTAATAGCAGCCTTGCTGGGCTGCCTGCGGCCAGTGCCTGTCCACAAGTAGGGGGAATGAATATATCTCTATTTACTAGAGTAAATCAGAGCAAAATTAAAACCATGTTAAGGAGCAACAGAGTCACTGAAAGATATAAAAGTAGGCTATACAGTAAAACCAAGCATGTCTGATCAGGATAAATAGATATGTGTAAAACTAGAGTCAAACACAAACTCTGCACTGCAGGTTTACAGCTCGCCCAATTACTAACATACAATCGGCCCATCTAGTAGGTCAAGCATCATAGCTCTAAACTCTAGATAAACCAAGTTTTATAGAGCAATGTTACTAGAAAGTGGATATCGGAAATTGAAGCTAAATGTACTAGCCAGCATTTTTCTGGTACAGGATTTCTAACATATCTGTCCTCCATTTCCTAACTTGTGCCATCTGTTTTATTAAACTATCGCTCATCTTTACAGAGATCTAAAACATAAAATGTTTTTGCAGGCTTCTAGGATCTTATGTTTAAGCAAAACTAGTCTACCAATCCTGGTGGAAACGGAAAAATGTAAACTAGAAATACGAAAGAGAATCCCAGTTGGACTTTTAGGGCTTGTTCACACCACTTACAGTGCGTTCCAGCCCAGTCAGCTGCTGGAACGCAAAGTGTATCGCATACTAAACTACCCCCTGCGTTCTGGGTCGCAGTGCGATTGCCCGCACCAGAATGCATGGCACAACAATAAAATAGTGCTGGAACATGCTGTTAAGTGGTGTAAACAAGCTCTTAAACAAGCACGTGCAAGCTTCAGCACTAATTAAAGTAAACCTATCATGACAAAAACATGGGGGATACCAGTGCTGTGAATGCATGGCCTCTATACTGCTGAGCCACAGACCAGTAACAGACATGCAGCAATTGAAAGTCCAGCCAAGGCCAGAATATGACACATCTTTACTTGTTCTTGGTCAGGGACTCATAGTGCAAAGCCATTATTCATCAGCATGACTGCCAAGCAAGCAGCATTTCAGGAAAGGTCATTAGTTGCAGTCTAAAAAAATCCTGTAAGCTTGTTAAAATTTAATATGTTTGTTTAAAGGTACAGACAGCGTTCCAATTTAGATTTTAATAATTTCAGTTTTTAGTTTTAAAACTGGAGCTGAAGGGAACTTTCACTATACCATTTATTCCAACAACCTTGCCATAAGGTTAGATGTGCATTTAACATAGGTTATGCACGTTATTTACCTGTAAAGGCCTACCTTGTGTAGATGTCCAAAAACCCAGAGACTGCTGCTGGGTGCCACATCTGTAGATGTAATATCAGCAGCCCAAGCAGACTCGGATGTCAATCAAGCTATACTTATAGCAGGAGTAACCAAACTTCGTCCCTCCAGCCGTGGTGAAACCTAAAAAACCTATTGTGCATCTGCCTCTGGCTAACAAGCCTGTGGTTGTCAGTTTTGCAATGCCTTATGGGATTTGTAGTTTCACCACAGCTGGAGGGATTAAGTTTTCCCCTGACTGCTACATGAAAGGTTATATAGGAAGGTGAGGGACGGAGATGCGGGTCCAGCACAGAGAGTAATTGGACACTCCCAGAAGAGGACTGTGCTATGAGGGAAAGGGGCTTTGCTAGAGAATCAACTAGTGAGGTTTTCCAACAAGTTCAGAGGCACATTGCAAGTTTAAATTGTTTATGGAAAGAAAATGCTGCAAGTAAACAACTAAAATACTTGTTTTTCTGGGCATTCACCTGCAATGTTTTATGTTGGTGACCGTGTCTCTTTAAAAGTTCCAAGAAAGCAGTTTGATTGTTTAATGCGTGCTGAACCTGACACTACTGAGGCTAGTATTTACAAGCCAAGAGAGGCAAATGCTCATGTGTTAAAAATCAGCCAGTGACTGTGTATTTAATATGGAAAGGTGCCTGGTATGCCACATTGCCTTCCATAGACCCTATGAGGCTCAAAACATATTGAGGGGAATTTATCAAAACTTGAGCAGACAAAATCTGGAGCAGCTGTGCATGGCAACCAATCAGCTCCTCTCTTCAGTTTGTTCAGTTAAGATTTGAAATTGAAAGAGAGAAGCTGATTGGCTGCCATGCACAGCTGCTCCAGATTTTGTCTGCTGCAGTTTTGATAAATCCCCCTCGTTATGCTGTAATACGCAGACAGTGGCTATTGCCTGAAGTTGTACTTGGCTTAGCCTTCATATGCATGTTCCTACTGGCCCATTACTGCGCACAAAACGGGTAAAAGGGACAAAGGTAAGATGTTGAAAAATTACGTTGTATTTACATATTAGAGGGCACTGATATTTGTGACGCCCAAGGCACTATGGGAGGTATGTGAACAAACATATGGGCATGTTTAGGTAATCAGATACCCTGCTGTAGATCTTGATAATCAGCCCCTTTTACCTGCCAAAGAGTTCCCTGCGAACTTCAGGGGGGGGAATCATCTGTGAACCCACTGCACAGGCAGAGACCCCAGCTGAAGATGTGCTCAGGGCAAGGCACTTGGACAGGTTGCCAATGGCTTCAAACACACAGTAGAGTGTTGTGCTTGTTTTTGCTCATTAAAAAATAAACTTAACTAGCTGCTTTGGGAAAACAAAAATGTGCACAGCTTTTTGCCTTGAAGAAGCTGCATTCACAGTTTTAATACCTTATCTATAAGACATTAACAAATCGAGCAATGCTTCTTCAGATTACACAGACTATCCACAACCATAACATTCCTGTCCTAAAATAATTTGTAATGTCCCTTACACAGTCAAACCCACACCTATAAAGCTAATTAACCTATCAGCATAACACTTGAAAACTAGAAATATCAAGTCATTCTCAGAAGCAGTTTTTCCAACATGCTGTCATGTGCTGAGCATTTCCTACAAGGTACTGTGAAATCTTTACCTGACGTACATGCATTCTACATGCACTTACACTTTGGCTACATAATTCTAGCTAGGGTTAGGCTGAGGCAGGAAAGGGTTTCCTTTACTAGCTCTTGGCGGCCAATTGGAGCAGGGCAGGAATGAGAGGAAGGTGTGTACTTGCTACTTTGAAGGGCAGCTTTAAAGTGAACCTGTTATTGCCATGAATGACTAAAGAAAAAGCTCACATTAATGTTTTGGCTGCAGGATCAGTGCATACATCTTCTCTGGATTCATTACCAGTATAACTGGAGCTCCTTTGATACTATCAATATACAGTCCATAAACAATCGATCTAGTTGCGCAAGTTAATGACTTCTGTTTTATGTTGAACATAAGTGTTTTGGAGTTGCATGTTCCAAAATGGGCTCTGGGAGTGGTTGAAGAATGGTGTTATGATGAGCTACAACAGCACAGAGGTATTATATGGTAACTAAGCAAATAATGGTATAAAACATGAGGCAAGTGCCACTGCTTTCACTGTACCGCCAGTGGTTACAACGCTGGATGTGCCCTATATTTATAAGTATAGACAGTATAATAACTGGCAGCACAAAGAATAGCAGCTTGAAAAAGATAAGCGCTTACAAATCATCTATTAGATGTTTCTCTGCTACATTAAATACATAAAATGTAATAGCATACATAATTGTAAGGATCACAAGCTGCTCTGGCTGGTGTTGGTAAAGTTCATATTTCTCAAAGCTGGTAATGTAATTGTTTTGTTTGTTTGCTAACATACCATATTTGCTCTAATAGGAGGCACAGCCCCACTTCACACTGCGGCATAGAAAAGAAAAGATTCAATCTGAGAGAATATATTAAATTGAGCTCTTTTTATGAGTCCTGAGGGATCATGCAGGAAATTTATTTATGTAATATATATTATACAGAGACCTGAGAGATTTAGATCTCCTTCCAAGCTTGGAAAGGCATGAGAGAAGAGTCGGCTTCCTAATCCTTTCTGCAGGTTAATGCCTTTGAATGCAATATTAACAGCTATTCAGGTGAGGTCATCGGCACTTAATGCCAGGTCACGAACAAAAACATAAAATGGTTTTAATATATCAATGTTTACAAGTGTCACTGAAAAGATATGCATTATCACAACCTCTGATTAAAGGTTTACTAAAGCTATAATATGTTTAAAGGATCAACCTGTAAAGGTCCAGATATATTGGAAGCCTTAGGAGAAACAGCTAAAATCTTGCTCAGGCAAAGGCTAGAAAAGGATATACAGTATATCCACTTCTTCCATCAATGTCCTAAAGCATGCTGAAATGCAGAAAGGTAACAAAACATTTCCACACAAAGATTTTAAAATATTTCCAATCACTAGCTGGGTTCACAATTTACATATCTATTGGCTGTTTGAATCAGTTTCAGGTATCATTATGTTGGATATACGTATCTTTACCAGATATGAGAAAAGTCTGATAAAGGTCATTACATATACTAGCAGGGATCAGACTGCCAGTTGTTCTTATATTAATGTACAGAGCATGCAATCAAACATGTCTAAATTGCTCAATGTAGTTATTCACTAGGTTATTGGATACTCACGTTTCCATAATCAATGTAAAACACATGAACTTTCGAGGGTGACTCCATCTTTTCAACTCGGGCTCTATACCTATGGTAAAAGTAAAAAAATAAAAAAACTTAAATTTTTTTATTTTGCAAAATGCTGCCCATTTTATGAAGCCACATTAGGTCAAGACAACTCTTGCATACACGATCAGTCCATGCTGATGTCCATATTTACATATTGGTACTTTGTTACAGGTCTAATTCACATTATTCATTTTAATTCATTATTTCTAGTGCATCATTAAAAACCATACGCAATTAAAATAACAAAAAAACCCAATTTATTTGAATATGACAATGATTTGTAACTGAAAACTCTTTTTAAAATTTTTTTTATACAAGACAGATCTCAGAATTTGCTTCATCAGGCTCATTATCACAAAATTATACTGGTTAAACCACATTGCAACACCTAGCTCACCCTTTCCCATTTGGTTCCCATGGACCAAAAGATGGCAATCCTAGGTCCAACAGTGGCTTTAATTTCTGCATCCAGCACCAGCTCTGTCACTGTACATGCAAACAAGTTCCCTCTCACCTCGGGAGAGCGTGGGGGTGCCCAACAGCATCTCTGCTTAGGGTGTCAGAGCACCTTGTTTAGGCACTTGATGCACACAGCATCACCCCCAGCCATCATAGCTGCCTTCAAAGCGGAAGGTTTTCCACATAAAAGCCTGAAGGTGGAAAATCCTGTTAAATTATCAAAATCTGTTGGTTTAAATTTCCCCCCATAAAGCTTTAAACAGAGAAATGTAGAAGCTGGCTTGCATACATGCTGCGTAACATGTCCTAGGGGTATATTATTGCACTGCTAATTAATAGATTGATGTATGCTGTTTAAAGCCAATATACTAAACAACAGCTATAATTAGAGAACAGATATGTCTGGGAATTTGATGTTCCCTTTTAAAAGACATTTCACAGAGGAAAAAAAACCTCCAAAGCAACACACGTGTCCTCGTTTATCAGGCTGTCTGCTGGTGCTTAATGAGAACAAGCAAATGCTTGTCAGGAAGGCTTGCTCCATCCATTCTGCTCAACAGGGCAGAGGTTCTCGCCAGCTTTTTATGGACCACCATGACGTGTGCTTTTAAAAATACAGGCTCACCTTATCCAAAAGCTTTGTAATAATGCAGGCTTTCCAAATAGGGGAGAGTTCTCAACATATGGGCAGTAAGGCTAGTTTTTTGTTGCCCTAAATCTGAGGACCATTTTTTTGTGCCACATTACATTAAAAACACAACTTGTGTTGGTGCCAGATGAATGTCACACTATATGTATTGTGTGAGGTACTCTTTACTAAATGCTATTATAGTAAACCTTTCCTAAGAAGAATACGGGGGATTGACACTGCTGACTGCCTTTTGCCTGGCTGTTATTCTGATCTCTTACCTCAACACTTACTGAGTCACTAACCAGGAAGAAATATGCAGATAAGGAAAGAGTAAAATAATACTTCTGAATTAGTGACTCTAACGATTATTGACAAAAGGGTGAAGAGTTTGGAGAAGTGAACAATCCAGGCCAAAATAGCTGATTTAGAAACAATTCTCCAATTCAGCTCACTTTCCAGTTCAGCTATGTTGTCCTAGATTGTTCACTTCTGCCTTCTCCAAACTCTTCACCCTTTTGTGAATAACCCTGTAATTATTTGAGCAAGGTGACCGCCGTAACAGGAAGGTAACTAACATATGGAGAACGAGATTCCTTTCTAGCATGTAATTAGAACACGTTGACACTAAAAGATTACACTTTTTTTAATGTAATAAGAGGCAATATCATTATCAGAGAAGGGAAGATGTTGCAGGTTTAGCATAATATACAGACATTAAAATGGGTGTTTTTGTAATTTCTTAGGATACATACGAGTTATGATACATTTTATAAAATACATTCAATATTTGCATCTCGTATTACTTTGAAACTAGGTACTTTCAAAGTACCATCTTGATTTAAAAAAAAAAAAACCCGAAACAAAATATAAAAAAAATAAAATACTTTGTTTAAATTTTTTTTAATCAAGATTAAATTGAATCTTTGATCAATGGTACCTTGAAAATCCATAGTTTTTATAAGAATGCTATATAAATATTGAAAAAATGTTTAGAATGGTGTAACAGAGCAAAAGGCTCACTGTATTGTGATCCATATGCTTCTTTGTACGGTATTTATAAAATAAATGTTAATGATTATGGTGAATATTACTTTAACTACATTAATTATACTACTCAATTATATAAAAGTGCATGTGATATAAAAAGTTGTACGCTAAAATTAAGGCTGACAGTTTTGAGTCAACTCCTGTTTTTATCACCATGAAAAAAAATGAAGCCTAAACATCCAACACTGCCTTTCTCAGCCTTGGTCAAGCCATTGGCCCATTAAAGACAAGTGCAGTGAGGTGAAACCGTTTGAGTCAGACATCCAAAAATGGCAAGCATAAGATCTGGCCATTTTTAAATTCCCCTGCACATGACTGGATGTTTTAGTTCAGGGACCGGATATACTAACAAAGTGAACAAGCAGCATATGTATGTCTTAAGGCATCAGCAATAGTACATCGGTCATCTACTTTGCACTGCTGAGCTGGAATATGTGAGTTTTGTGGACTAATCTTTCTCATCATTAATGACTTGAATCATTAACCTGACTGTAAAGAAACAAAGCATAAATGCAGCACACTGCAGAAGGGTGTAATCCCTATAACACAAAGTAAATGTCTTTGCTAAACAGAGTGTAATCCATTATTGTGTGAGCAGTGAAGATTTACAGCACTGATATACACAACACACACTGAACACGGTGCCACAAAAATGAATAAATGTGTGAAGTTTCATGTTTCCTACCATTCTCCATCCACATATTTGGCAATGCAGTAATCTCCACGACGTGGTGCGAATGACCCTTCCAAGGGAGGATTGCTGGCAATTTCACTCCTCATACTTTCCATAAGTTTCTCAAGCTGAGTACCTAAAGAGCAAATGGAGACATGAACAAATCTTAAGCCACATAAAACAGAAATAAGGTTAAAAAATATATGGAAATAACTAATTGAACCTACATTAGTGATCGCTCATAATAATTGCTGCAAAAGCAAAGTGCAACAGTTATGCCAGAGGGGTTATGGGATATTTTCCCACAACAACAATTGTCTAAGCTACTGTGCAATATGATCCTTCAGCCTTTAGTAGGGACATCAAGTCCAGAAGGCACTGCTAGGCTCAAAACAGATGAACAAAATGTTAAGCCAAAGGCCTCAGCATACCAAACAACTCCAGGGTAGAAAATTGCTCCTTGAAGCTACTGCTGTAGAAAATGGCAGGAAAATAATATCCAATATGTATTTTTACGAATATAATAAAAAATAACCGCAAAACAAATAGTTTGTTAAAAGTGCAGTTCAAAAAAAGAGAGAACACAGCTAGTCATGTCAGAAGCAGCTAAGAACAGCAGGAGTAAACACAAACGTAACAGCCAGACTGACGGTTTGGTATCTTGTGACATCGATGGCTCAGATTTTAAAGGATTGTATGTAGCAGCCCTATAGTTTATTTGGAAATATGCGTCAGACTCTACTGTAAATTGGATTTTTCAATGCACAGTTTTAAGGTAGCACCTGGTCCATATTTGTTATAATTTGGGTGCTTGAAATACATTTTATTTCCAGAACTCTTTGCTGATGTACTTTACAAATCAAACCCATCAGAGTATTGTCTGTAGGCTGAAGGGCTATAGAGCCATTAGGGTATGTTTATGAGACTGGATAATAGATATATCCTTTTTCATCCTAATTAGTTTATTATGAATACTGCCAATTTTAACCACCTAACCAGTGCTAGAACGAATAGAATAGATCAAGCTGACCAATCGTGGTTTAAAAAGCTTCAAGATTTTAAAAGAAAAACTGTTGGTAGCAGCTTGACCTGACCCATTCTATTTTTGTAGCCAAAAGGTATTTAAACAGAAATGGGTACTATTTCAACCTACAATGAAGAAAGAAAGAGGGGGTTTACAATACAGTTGGACAGTGTGGAAAACTAGCAACAGGATTAGGAATCATTAAGGTATTCAAGGGCAGAATGCTTTATTTTGAAAAGGAAATGTTTTACTTTTTACCTAAGAAGTTTAAGGTGTTCTTCTGATCCCATTTTGTCTCTAAGAAAACATTTAATACCAAAAAAACAAGAGGTACTAGTTCACCGTTGAAAAGGATTTCAGCTTTACAACTGACAGTATGTCTTTTCTGTCTGGCATCTAATAATACAGCAGTAATTCAATGTGCTGTTTTACTTCATTGTGTCCTGTGTTAACTGTCCTTGCTTTACCCTGAAACTAGGCATTCTTCATTGCCTTCCACCTGTCGAGCATTTCACCACCAGTGGCTAATTAAGGCTGGATATTGACTGCTCTCCATGACACAAGCCGCTGTGTTTATCATACAGTCTGTGGGTGTGCGGTTTAATGTGAGCACTGTCAGCACCACAGACTGAACTCGGGTCCTTCACACAGAAAATGAATGTCTGCTCCTGTTAACTCCCTTGCAGGGATTACAGCAAAATCTCTATGGCTAAGGATATCACATGTTCTAACGGCACGATTGTATCCGAACACAGGAATACAGCAGTGGCAACTGTGAGCCAAAACATAATTGCTTTAGGAGTGCAAACTAGGAGGCAAATGTGCGAGGATGCTGTACATACTCGCATATTATGACAAGAGCCCATCCCACCCAGTGGACTTTCTGCCTAAAAAAAACAAAACATTTATCACCTGCAATTTTTTTTTTTTAAAACTGCATCCTTTATTGCAAATACGACCAGTGGCTCTGTAAAAATCAAAGTAAACCTGTCACAAACCTTTATAATTAAAACCGAGCACACAATTATATTTCCTAGGATTTTAGATCAGAAATGTATGCTGTTGAATTTTATGGAAAAGCTCAATTCACTGGTCCCTCAGTGAATGCAAGCTTACCAGGTACAAAGTCAGCTAAGCAGCCCCCTTAACCCATATATCTGCCCTCACATCATTTTGCAAAGCTGGGATGAGATTTTACTGCTGGTATAATTTGCTTTTGTTTCAAACACGACACCGCATATATTTTCTAAAAAGTTGTATTATTTGGATATTCTTAAAGCAAACCATTTGGATATTCCTACACCAGAATATATGGTCTGCACTTTTGAAGACGTTTTATTTCTTAGACCTAGTAGCTTAATATGACCATACTCTGAGTAACTGACCTGAAATAAGAATGCAGAACCGCAAACAGAACACATCGAGAGTCCATAGTGCATACCTGTTCTGGGTTTGTAGCAAAGGGTTTTAAGCCAGAGCAGGCGAGTATGACGGCAAGGCAAATGGCATTTTCACAAGTCTTAGTAATGGTAACCTCCATGTTTCTTTCAGGACAGATTTCCTTTAAAGTGTATTTCCACTTTCGTAGCTAAATTGGGATAACACCCACTTTATATTTGTTACATGTTCATATTCACATAGCATTCTCTTAACAACCACCCCCCCCCAAAGAGCAAAAATAATTTTGGAGAGGAGCCAGCAAAACACTGATATATCATCCTCGGGTTCTTTTCTTGAAGACAGCATGGTGTGATCTTGGCTTTGATCATTGTAGGATTTCCACCCCTGGGGAGAGTAGCAACAGAGTTGAACCTTTATCTGTAAACGGTTTGCCTGACTATAGACCGCTTCATCATTGACTTCCAATTTCCCAATTTATATAGTCCCAACATAATATGTAATGCATTCTTACCAGCCCCCTCCACCAAATAACTGAGTCTTCCAGAGGGTTACCAACCACCTGAACATTTATATCCATCTGTAAAAGGTAAATTCCTTCACTTCTGCCAATAAAGTCAAGGGGGGTGATTTACTAACCTAAAACACACGCACGCACTAGGTGCGTGTGATTGTTACACAGCAAAACGTATTTATCAACCATCGGACTTCAAGTGGTTAACCATTATTTTTTTTTCTTTCCAGTTACCTGCAGGCCTACATCTGCAGCAAAAGTGGCAGTTACAGGGGTTGGGAAAGACTATGCAATGCTGCTGGGGGATGCTTACAACGGTTGTGCTTTTTGTAATTTGTGTTTTTGCTCATAATTCTACTTTAACCTAGACATACAAGTTTCCCAAACTGGTAGTTTAGGGCCAAATCAGGCAACAATCTCATGTCTATGGGATCTACACACTACTGCTCTCATGGAGAAGCAATCAATTTGGACAAGTTAGAAAATCTGTCCTGACTGCTTTTTTACTTCATGACAAGCGGCATCTGCCAGCTGTCTCATTTGCTGTCTAATTTTGCTTGTATAGCTGATTGCCTTCCTATTTGTGTGTTTAACCCTGGACTGGAGACTGACTAGCATGATCTCTGAGTGTTTACCAAACACCACTCATAAAATTATTCAAATCCAGGAACTGATGGGAACGAATAAATGCACTACAGTCTTCGTTCTATCTTGCCAGTATACCTCCTTATTTTCGTCACCTCAAAATGACAATTTAAATCTTTCTCTGTCCAGTTTGAGGAACTTACTGGGCCACCTGTCAAATAACATCCACACTAGCCGTTTGTGCATGTTGAGGCCGTGAAGTCATCAAATTGCAGAGTTCATGTAATTACCCAAACCACACCCCAAAGCTAGCAATCTGTGGGTATGTGGGCAGGGACAGGAGAAAAAAAACTGTCCTATCGGAGCTCACTAACATCACTGGATCAAGAGGAATCATAGAACACGTAATTGCTCGTGTGGCTCGTAAAAGAAACAAATGTGCGAGCAGTGATTTGACCCTAATTCTGGCGTTCGCATATAGCTAAAATATCAGATGCTTAATGATGCCAGACTTAACAAAATATGCTATTTTTAGTAAAGGAAACAACATACGTGAATTTATATGGGCAAAATCTGCAGTGCATGGGGAGAGGCACACATTTGGAGCCTTGATCTTGCAGTGGAGCTTTCACCACTTGCTGGCCGCGGTGTTTACACCCCCCTTTCTGTCCAGGCCAATTTTCAGTATTCAGCGCTGCGGTACTTTGACTGACGTTTATTCCGTCATGCAATGCTGTGCTGAAATAATTTTTATAAAAATTTTGGGGACACATAGAGCTTTCTTTTGGTGGTATTTAATCACCACTGGGATTTTTTATGTTTTACTATATAACAAAAAAATTACAGAATATTAAAAAAAATAACTGTTTTCCCTTTATTATGTTAGAAAACATTTATTACCAAATTTTTTGGTAAAATATGAAAGAAAGGGTCATGTCAGGTAAATAGACGCCAAACATGTGAAGTCTTAAAATTGCGTGCGCCCGCGAAATTGCAAAAAAACTACCATAGCCAAAATTGGCCATAGGCAACGCTTAAAAAGATTTTACCGCTCATAAGTTTAGTGTCATCAGCGATTGACGGCCCTAGAATTATTGCTCTCACTGCGACGTTCGTGGTGATATGTAACAAGTGCTGCGTAATTGGTGCAATCCTATTTTTTGCATGTATGCGCACCCAACGCATTTTTACGTATCTATGTGGGGGTTGGGGATTAATTTTTTAGTGTTTTTGTTTCGTGTGTGTGTAAATTTGATTTTGTGACCAATTTTTTTTTTTACACTTAACTTTATTGTCATCACATAGAGGGATAAGAATTCCTCTATGTTTTATCAAATTACAGCAACAGGTCCCCTTTATAGAGACATCAGCGGTCTCTCCGGTTTCTGTACCGGAGAGTGACAGAGGAATGCGGAAGTGCTGTAGTAAGCAACACTTCCTGCATTCAGAGACCGGGGAGGAGAGCGGAGGGAGATCGTGTACCGATCTCCCTCTGTTCTCAGTGGACAGAGCCACATCGCCCATCCCAGATCGGACGCCTGGGATCGCAGGGGTGGCGGTGGTGACCACGAGAAGAGGTAAGGAGGGGAGTTCACAGAGACTTACATCATACAAG